GATTTGACTCAAATTCACATATTTGATTTATAACCTACTAAAACCTATATCAAACTTACAAAAAGTATAAAATGAACAATTAACAATGCATGGACTCGATAATATGTATCCGCATTTCGTGTGTATTTTAGTCTAGAGGCAATCTAATTCACAATCCAGATGACCTCCGAAGACTGCTGACGGTCATTTATTCCAATATTTACATATATATGAATATAAATAGACTAGCGAACACGAACATTTTAATCTGTTTGATTTCATATTATAGGTTAAATAAATATGTTAATCATCGTTTTTACCAGTATAAGAATAAGTTGTTGTGGATCGAATCAGTCAATCAAATGATATACCCTTGTATCACTTTCAATGTTGACATTCTTTTCCTTTTAATAGCCTAACACGCCTAGTTCATGCGTAACCCATCTCTAGTTAAGGAGTTAAATAAAAGGTCACATGAATACGGATTGAATGAGGTCGAGGTATTCACTTGCAAGTGAATAATTTATCAGCGATATTTCTTAGCGTATTTTGACAAAATTGAACCAAACTGGCTACTAAAAGAGAATTATTATTTCATTATTTCACTTTCATTAATGATTGAACAAAAAAAAAATCTTTTTTTTTAAATCTCGTAGCTGATGTCCTTTTAAACAATGTTGACTTCCGTCGTGGAATATTAAAAAAAACCAGGAAGTACAGCAAACCATGGTGAAATTTCTGACCAGAAAAAAAAGTGCTGTTTGGTACAAATAAAATTATTGATAGAACTTATGCTTTGGGAATTTTAAAATTAAAGCAACTAAATAATAGATACATTCACAAATCAACCAGTTATTCAACGCTTTAAACTGGTTTTGGGAAAAAATATTAAAAAAAAAATATTAGGTTCAAGTACATGTTGTTTTTTTTTAAATAGCAACAAAAAATAGTTGAATCTGGGAAAACATTATTTGACTTTACCTCCGATAGAATTTTGTGCAATTTGGTTAATAATGTCCTACATATCTATTTTTGGGTAAATACGGAAAGTTGCGTGGCTTGGAACGACTTAGAGCTTGGCATATTGTATAGGCACTGTAGACCTATGTTGCCTTCTATACGACTTTTGGATATTTTTTGCTGTCTCATTAACACATATAAATATCTCCTTGTATTTATAATAAAATTCAAGAGCTTTGTTCCGCATCCGGATTAGGTAAAATAAGAAGGTCATTACTAGCTTTAACCTAAAAGTATGACCAACAACTGGAATTGCAATTCATGAAGATGTGGCTCCTGCAGATCTTAATAATCTAATTTTCATATTAAGTGTACCATGCTGCTTGTGGTAAATAGTTTTGCTTTATTTATTTCTTGTGCTTTGCTTAGTTTTAGTGATTTGCTTGTTTGTGCTATGCTTTTTAGTCCCCTACTGACTAAGTCAAAGGGGACTTTAGGTTTGCACTCTGTACGCCTGTCTGTCTGTCTGTCCATCCGTCAGTCCGGAATATCAGTTTTCCACACTTTCTTTCTTCGTCTTGAAGACAAGTCACAGATAAAGTTCAATTTTTGTTCCGGTCTGATGATTTTGTCCAGAGTTATGGTCCTTGGACTTAGAAAAATTCGCCCAAATAATCAGTTTTCCATACTTTTTTTCGTCATGCTAAAATATATTGATTTGATAATTGGTATGTAGTTTTATCATGACAAATTGCAGATCAAGTTCAAATTTTGTTCAGGTTTGATGATTTTGTACAGAGTTATAGTCCTCGGACTTAATAAATTCACTCAAATAATCCGTTTTCTGCACCTTTTTTCGTCATGCTTGAAGATATTGATTGATAATTGGTATATAGTTTAAACATGACAAGTTACGGATCAAGTTGAAATTTTGTTCTGGTGTGATGATTTTGTGCAGAGTAATGGTCCTTGGACTCAAATAATCAGTTTTACACACTTTTTTCGTCATGCTTAAAGATATTGACTTGATATTTGAGTTTGCACCATGACTAGTCAAAGATCAAGTAAAGTTTTTGTTCCAGTACAATGAATTTTTAACCAGTAGGGGACTATGTATTGCCATGCAATACTCTCAGAATGCTTGTTTATATGAGCTTTTGCTTATGCAATATAACTGTCTTATTTTGTAAATCTAATATGTGTTGTTATTGTTATAAATGTCGGCAAAAAGCACCACAGAGCTTATGTTGGAACCCTCCTTTTGTTTGACGATCGATGCATTTGAATGGGGACATATAGTTGGACACCCCCCCCCCTTTATCCTGGGTTGGGAACCCCCCTTTTAAAAATGGCTGGATCAGCCCCTGATGTTCATGTAAATCCGACATAAAATTATAAATTTTATTTTTATTCTAGGCTAGCTCTAGTAGTGGACTTTTGATAGAAGGAATAAATCCTTGTAGGAAGTTTCTTTTATAGACAAAGTTCAATGTTGTAGGGGTATTTACAGTCAAGGCACCCTTTACACAGAAATCAATTTCAATTCAAAGTTTCAAAGCAAATGAATGAAACAAAGATTTCTGCCTTTTCTAAACCAACTCCCTTATACAGGATTGGAGTGCAAATGCATCATTTATAGTGTGTTCCTTCACTGTATTATTCTTAGTAGTATAACTTACAAACAAATGTGTTCTAACTCATTGGCTTCCAAAACTTTTGGTGTTGCACATGCCTGATGAAGGTTGTTCCAGTAACATATGTCATAGTATTGGTATCCTACGTCTATATAACTAACACTGTCACTGATGGTTGACTGTCACTGAAAGATGGTTTCTATCCATCCAGTCGACATTTTGGAAGTGGCAAATTAACGTTGCAACATCCTAAAGACAAAGCTGACCTTCGATGTTTTATTTGTTTTAAAGTTCCATTTCAGATTTTTTAGATGTACTTGGCTTCTTAAATTTTTGGGCCTTGTTGTGTTTGATAAGGGTTTTTTCTAGAAAGACAAGTTCTTAGTATTGAAATTGGTATCATAAGTTGATGAATGTCTTCCAGAACAAGATAACATTTGTTTTTTTTTCTTTAACTTGTATTTTTTAGGCAAGATAATTTTTTTTTACTTTGACAACTTTAATATATATTTCATTTTTTTAAGATTGATTTCAAGCCTTGGTCCATGTTGAAAACAAATCAGTTAGTCTTCACTGGAATCACTGAGAATTGAAAAAAAGTTTAAATTTGATGGTATTCTAAAATTGAGGAAATTCTTCTCTGGAATATTACAAAATTGTTGGCTAATACAAATTTTTGAAACCTGAGTGTTAAATAAAGAACAACTGGAGGTTAATAACTTGATAAATGTCTATTTTCATATCCTTAGTTGATTAATTGATAGATGAATGGCAATGGACTATCAAAAGTTTTTCTCCCCTTGCAGTCCTTAAGAAATGACATATTGTGTAGCCATATGTCTATTGTTGTTGCCCTCTAGTCTGTTGGCTGGTCCCTCAATGACATATATGGTGATAGGATAACCCACATCTCATTTTGTTCACTTAAAATAACAGGTGGAAAGTACTATAAAAAAAACTTTGACCAGAAACATTGTGTTCAAACCATAAAGATGAGTCAAAGGCATAAGAAAGTAGCATAAAAACATTGCCTCTACAACAATGCTGACAATGCTCTTTTATGTTCCTTTTGTTGGTTCACTGATCAAGATTAAAAGGGAGGGTTTGAGATAAAGAATTAATAAAAAAATTAAACCCCTCTATAGTTTAATGTGCCATGTCCCAAGTTAGGAACCTCTTCTGTGCTGTTCTTTTGCTCTATCTTAAAGTGGTACCAAACACCTTGACTAAAATTAATTTGGCTCGTTTAATTTTCATCAAATGTTGACAAAATATCTATTTTGATCCTTTGACAAAATTATAACTTGAACCACTTTATTGGAAAAATTTCATTGGATATATAGCAGTTTGACAAACACTAATTTTGATCATTGAGAAGCTTAATATTTCCTTAACAATAAACGGCTGATTTTTACAGAGTTATCTCCCTGTAGTGTTATACAATACAATATACAATATTTTTATTTTTCCAAATTAAAGGGCCCATTAAGAGCATAATATTAATAACAACATGACATAGACATTACAGAGTGATTAAAGAAACATAAAATAATAGTTCAAATGCATGAGGAAAGGGTCAGTGGTCAAGGGGAGATAATTTTGCTATCTTTTAGAGTATTTAACTAATTTTCTGATTTTCTAAGTTGCAGGCCTTTATCAAGGTATGCACATAAAATAGATAAAAAACTGCTATCTTCATTACTCATGATCCATGTAAAAAGATCTATTCTGTTTAAATTAACTAAACTTGGGTATTTTTTATATAATCAGTCATATCTCTTCTGAGGTTATTGTAAAGAGGGCATTCCAGAAGAAAGTGCATTTCATTTTCAATAGATTTGAATTACAATATAAACATATCCTCTCATGTCGAGGTAATATTTCATATTTACCACATACATTGATAAAACGTTCATGTCTGCCAGTTTCTATTCTTAAACAGTGATTGCTGAGTCTGTATTTTGTTAACAAATGTTTTTGGGGGTGCTTTAAATCTAAATAATTTTCATAGTCAAATGACCTCTTGAATGAAAAATAAGTGTCCAATTTGCCTTGATTCTGTAATGTACCACCTTAATGTTTCTGTCATTTTGAGAATTTGGTGCTGATGGGAGATCTTTACTAGCCTTTGGTGGTGGATATATTCACAACTCTTTAGGCGCAGGGAGATTAAGACCTCAACATATAATAGACACCTGTATATTTTTTAAGACTACATTTTTTATCTCTAGATGTATGTGTGTTTTAGCGTCAATATGTTGCTGTCTCATTGACATATATGCCACATTTCCTTTTATTCACAATGATGAAGATACAATCATACTGTACAAATGTTGTGGACATTCGAAAATGAACAGTAAGGAAAACGCACTCCCTTATTTCCATGGTATCAATAATTTAGCATAAAGCTATGTAAAACAATAAACATTATCTACATATTTTTTAATACATATAACTTTCATTTAATGTATCAAACATTTTTTGATAAAATAGTACACATTTAATATCATCATAAAACAAGAATCATTATTTATATAAAAATTTGTTTGATTTTATTGAGTTCTTGCAGAAGGAATCTTTAGTACTGTTCTTTCATACTGGTAAATCCTCAATGTATATCATTTAATGAAATTTATAGAACTTTCGTATTACATATATTATGAGTGATACTCTATGGAATATAAACATTTTGCATATATCTATAACATAGAAAAATATTTACATTCTTAATCAAGAAATCAATATTAATGGAGAATTTCACATTTATTTTCAGGTTTATGATTTCAAGTTAAAATTGGTCCTGAATACTAAAATTTAAACATGGACTTCATTTTTGTAATTAGAAAATTTTCTTCTGTATTCAAAATCTAATACACTAACAAATAAAATGTGTAAAAATAACTATTTCAATTTTTTATCAAGTTAAAATCATAAAAAAATATAGTACGACCGAAACTGTAGGTCCAAATAACACTATATTGCTGACTTGAATTTTATACACAATGTAAGACACTCTTGAGCCCAAAGACTATTCAGCCTTTTTAATTTAGTCCAAATTGGTCCTTTACAAGATTTTTCCAAGTTTTGGTGTTGATATCAAACTAGAATGGAAGGAGGTATTTCAGAGGAAATTATTTCAGCCAGATTCGGTTAAGTTTTTCAGAGAAAAAGATGGAATCTGAAAAAAAAAAATGAAAATGTGATTTCCCACAGAACTGAATGTGATACTATGTGGAATCTTTGCAGTTATGTATAATGTGACCTGATCTGCATTAAATGAGGCAAAAAGGGAGCCAATCATCCCTTTTGTAAAGATTAAAAATATCTAGCCTTGTTAATACAAAAAAGACAAAATATGGAAATTTCTGGTCTCTAATCCAACTCCTCAATGATGAAGAATGCCTAATGAAGTCAATACCTTATATGGCCCTATGATCCAGATAAGTTAACATTCAACTAAAGAAAAACAATAACTTTCTAAATGCAAATTAATAACAAATGTGACAGGTTATGAAACTGACCAACTACAGAAAATGTGTGTGTATAATTGCAAAAAATAAAATACATGTAGATAAATATAATAAAAGTTGTAAAGCTATTATACAAATTCATTATTGCACAAAATAACTATCAGCTAAATATTGCATTTCAATGGAAGATAACAATTTTGAAATAAAACACACAGAACAATTTTAAAAGTGAACATCAATTAATCTACATATTGTAGAAGTAATAACCTTTATTTTTTAGTTTATCAACAATTGTCAGTTTTTCCCAGAATTACTGTATATGGTATAATTATACTGCATATGTATACAATTTAAAATCTTTTGGAGAGATCACAAAACAGCTCAAATTGGCAAACATTGATGGTTATTATACTAAATATTTGTTCTAAAGTTCCGTCCATAATAATCTTTCTTCTTCTTATTTGGATATCAATCACCTGTCAGATTTTTTAAATACATTTTGAATACTCTTGACTGTTTAACAAAAAATAGTCTTGTCTAAAAATATGATTTATATATATATATATTTCTAGCATTAAAAGCATCTTCAAAATGATTGAAAAAATTAATAAAAACATATATAAAATAAAGCACACATCATTAACTTGACATGATTATTTAGCTGTAAAATCTTCTAAAACATCAAAAGGTAATTTTTATGATCACTTGTTTTCTCAGATTTACAAGTTCAAAAACGTATTTCTTGTCTTTAACTGAAAACTACTCATCAAACTTATAACAAAACAAACAAGTAAAACATACAAAACAAATATCAAATAAACAACAATGAATGGAAAAATAACAAACACTTTAACAGCTTTGGGGTATAGAAATCCCCAACTCATTCCAATATTCATACATATATATGAAGTAATTAGGGCTTAGACTTTCCGTTGTATTACGGTCAATTTCCCCCTTTCAGCTACTAATGAAACCTCAAATGAGCCTTAAAATTCTATATTGTCATTCATCACATGATATTTTTGAACTACAGTTATCATCAAACAGAGAAAAATGTTCATTATATTTTAACCAAAATTTGACTGTTAATTGTCATTTGGGGTACGGTGTACCCGATTCTCATACTACTATATAAATCCAAGACGTTAACAAGCAGCTTCACTAGTTGAATCACTGTTAAAAAAGACTGAAGTTAAATCTAGAAAGGTTAATCTTTTTCATTTCATTTAATTATTGAAGATATACATTTTTATAAAGTCACATTTTTTATAATCCTAATTGGACCTGGGAACAGTATATCTAACGGGAAATGAATCTGATACGCTTTTCAGTATAAAATTGATAAAATCTCGGACTCCCCGAGACTTCCCAAGATTTACGGATTTTGGTAGCGTCTGACTGAAAAACTATCAGAACTGCTCAACAAATAAACCACATAACTCTAATTGTAAATAAATACAAGTTTTATCATTTAGTAGATATATTTTGTCATATAAAATTACCAAAATAAGTTTGATTTATTTGATGTGAAGTGTTTTATAATAGTTTGGGAATTTGAAAATCATCGCGGCAATGGCCGCCATTTTTTTATTACCTGGATTGCATTCTGCACAATTCTGTGATGAAATGCTTGCGATTTTAACAAATTTGAAGTGACAGAATACAAGTTTGATACACTAACATCACTATAAAACTAATTTGAATGACATTTTATTGATAATATCAGAAATTATTAGGATAATAGCGAGTCCGTTTTTAACACATGTCCGTTTCTGTATCGTATCTTTATTAACTATGGCACGACGTTAAAATCGACTACAATCAGGTAGTGTCAAGTCCCGTCAATATATATGTTCCTGATTGGACTGAACATTTGTTTAAAATAAATTTCAAGTCCCAAATTTGACACCTGATGCCTTTGTAATATTTAGCACATGCTTGCTGTCCTTTTTGAAAACTAGTGCTTTTACAGTTATAATCAAAGGTACATGACACTTGAGATAACATTATTTTAAATATTATTGGTATTAATCTATATTTCTTGGCTGCAAATTAACAATTTTAGTTATGTGTTATAATGAGATGACATCAGTTAACTTAATTTACAACTAATCATGGCAATTACTATTATTTTCTAATGTTTGGTTATGTAACTACAATGTGGACCTATGGAGGTTAATTAACAAGTTCTTTAAACAAATCAATTTGTTTATAAAAATTGTTCTGAGATAATATACATGTATATATTAATACAATCATAAATATATAAGATAAACAAAGTGGAAAAAATATTAATCATTGATTGTCTCCATTACTGGCAAAAACCATTCAGAGGTAATATTTTGTGGACATTTTCAATCATAGAAATTTTTTCAATGCAAAATATTCACATCTACATATGATAAATGTGTTTGTCACTATTTGAACTTCTAAATATAGTTTAGAAACTGACTCATGGGCCTAAATAATAATAAAAAGCAGTACTTAATATCTTGTATTACAAAAAAATGTTGTTGTTCTATTTTTGTACAAGTATGACAAAAAGGAAAGTTTTAAAATATCACAGGGAATTGATTTTTATAGATTCTAACATAGTGTTTCTTTTTAAAACATAATTCCATTGTAGCAATAACCAGTTTGTCAAACGATAATTGTTTGAAGAGATTTTTCCAATTCAGTAAAACGAAAAACGGCATTGATTTTCACATATTACTTGAAGTTAAGTACAATTGCAATTCTCTTTTCCCACAAAACATTACATAGAAAACAATAGACTGAGTTACATGAACCCTACAAAAACTCAAGGTCAAACTCAGGTATTAGTGAAGGGTAAGATGATCCCACAATACAAGCAGTAGCTGGCATCTTGCTCATGATGTAAAATATTGTAAAATAATTTCAATGAATTTTTGTAAAAGAAAAAAAATTAGTAATTATTTGACAAAAATTGTATTGTCGATGATTGCAAGTTCGTTATGCTTGCAAGTTTGTGACATTTGGGAATTTCCAATTTATTTCGTGACGTCATGCAAAAGTATTTCTACTATTACTGTTTTATTCCTCTCCTAGAATTTCGTTGGTGAATAAAAGTTAGTTATTTGTCAAGTAAAAAATCAACCAAAGTGCTTGTGAGCACTGAAGGGTAAAGATTGCTTTTATTTGGTAATTTTGTGACATTATTTAGCTAAGCAAATTATAATTTGTACATAAATTAGGCCGTTAGTTTTCTCGTTTGAATTGTTTTACATTTGTCATTTTGGGGCCTTTTACAGCTGACTATGCGGTGTGGGCTATGCTCATTGTTGAAGGCCGTATGGTGACCTATAGTTGTTAATTTCTGTGTCATTAGGTCTCTTGTGGAGAGTTGTCTCATTGGCAATCATACCACATCTTCTTATTTTTATATATAAATTTAAGTTGGAGTTATCTTCCTTTGTTCAGTTTTCATGGTTGAACCTATTTTTATAACAGATTAATATGCCATGCATTCAATTACAAAAAAAAGTTTTCTTGACAAGTATTAATTCAAATACACATCATATTGTAACTTGAATATCTATTAGTATAACATACCATAAATAAATTGCATGATATTGAATGGATAGGATCTAAAGAATGCTCACTTCACTGCACTATTTTGTTTAAACTATCAAAAGTAGTGATAAATCTTGGGATCTAGATATCAAGTAATGCAATCTTTACCCCAATAAATAAGGAAACAAAGAATGTTTTTTGATTGATCTACTTAACTTATTGCTTACATCAACTTCATTTGAAGTTTAGTGGATAGTTGTCTCATTGGCAATCATACCACATCTCCTTACTTATATTTATATTATTAAGATTTTAATACAGAAACATGCAGCCCAAAGTCTGAGTCAGCAATTTCCATAGTTTCTATATGTACAGACATGCCATCAGAGCAATCTCAGACTAAGGAAAGTTGAACAAGTGTGTACGAAAAGTCAGCATATACAAAGTACTGTTTTTGCACAATTATGTGCTGCAAACAATAAATGCTGCAGATAGCTTTTTAGATTATGGAACTTTAAGAGTTAAATTAGACAAGTTTGCTTAAAATCACATATGAGAATTTTTTTAGTACATAAGTAGATTCAAAGGCAAAAACCTAATCTTAAAAAAAAAGTGGTCTTGCATCCCAAACATGATCTGTTTTCAGACAATTCACTATTTTTGCCTGTTTGAAAATCGTATATTTCATAACAATTTCTCATTTGATTTTTCTTATGTGTGTGGTTGTTTGATTATTTTGTAATTCTTTGATTGTTATATTTCAATGTATTTCATGAGGGCCGGCCTCAGGGAAGATTAGTTTTGTAGCTAACTTTGTAACCCTCTTTAAATAAAGAATTATTATTATTATTATTAAGGAATATTGTGTTTAACTAAATTTCATAATGACCGATCTGCTAAATAAATGTCATCATGGAAAAAGGATTTGTGTCTACAGACAGAAAAATGATGACTTTACACTAAAACAATAATACAACTTCAAATTTTGGTGTTTGTATAAAAATATTAAAGCAACCTTCAAAAGATAAATCAAGGAATCTGACAGTGATCTATCTCATTACCTCTCTAGTAACTATTTTAAATCAGTGAATATGACTTTACTCATGAGATCTCCTACACTGTTGACATAATTGTAGTATGATTTGAAATATGCATGAGGCATTTACTTGACCTGATGATACACATAAATATCTGAACTATTCAATTTCACACAACATTAAACAAAGATATACCTAATCAGTTATATAAAGATTTTTATGATATTGGTAAAAATAAATTAAACTGAAACCAAAAAAATCATAACATGAGAAATTCAACAAAGTATAATTTCAGATTATCCTGTGATGGGATAAGGCTGGCTAGTGTCTAAGTACTTCAAATAATACATAAAAAGGATATCAGAGATCACAAAAAATACTGGACAATACAACAGGTCATATCAAACAATAAACACACAGCTCCCCCAAAAATAATATAGATATTCAAACAAAAACGACAAACAACACATATATAATCTATTACTGTTATAAGAGCAGTTCAATTAAAATAATAGTTAGTGGGAATAGAACACAATATAGTCAATATGATTTCTGTGAATGACCAACCAAACACAGCAATATAGCTATCCCTTTCATTGTGTTCAACTTAAAAATCAATAAACACTAAACTGCTAAAAAATCATTTTCCCAAATGAATGTCACTCTATTATCTTTCATTGATTCTTGTTCACTGATGTAAATATTTTCAAATCAAACTTGTTATTTTGTTTGTTTGTTGAGTAGTGACCAGCTTTTATTACAATTGATTCTTTGTAAAAGTAAACCCTTATTCTTATGTGACACTGACTGTATTTAGTACTACATACATATATATATATTATTCATACTCTTATATAATAGATAGTTAATCTAAGATCTGTATTGAAGCATATGAACCAGCTTCATTTACATAGCGAAATATACAAAAATTGATATATTAAATGTACTATGTACATATATTTGATTTAAATTATTTACTTTTCGTTGTGAAATTTATGATCACAAAAATAATTCTAATCTTATGCAATTACTTAGTTACACTAATTCATATTCAAATTAGACATCTATCATGATTTTCTTCAAGACTGCTTTAACTCTGACATTTCTACTTCTTTCATTTCATTGTTTAAAGTGTCTGGATTGTTAACAATGAACTCAGTGTTTCTTGAGTATGACTTCCGTCCGGTACATTTCTGTATTACAGGAATGATGTATAGTATAGCACCACTAAAAGCTACAACAGTTCCAGCCACATAAAAAGATATATCATAACTTCCTGTTGCATCATACAACCAGCCTGTAAAATAATGGTCAAACATTCTTAAAAGTAATGTTGAAGAGCAATACAATGGTAGTTAATTGTCAATAAATTCATCTCCACAATATATATATATATATCTATTTTACATATTTTTGTTGTAAAATGTCTATTCAGCCTTTTCTATTAGCGTCTTAGATAATTACTCGTAATTCAGCTGTTGCAATGGTTTTTTTTTTTTTCATTAGTAATTTAGATTTAAAAAGTTATAAGGTTTTCATTCTTCAAATGACAAAATACAGATCTGACAATCAAACAAAATATAGGTAAACTATAGGCTCACAACTTTGCCTCATTGAGCCAATTGCTTCCAGAAATCCAATATAGTCAACAAACTGGTTTAAAAATTAAATTGATACAGGGCGAAATGTAAGTGATAATGAATCTATGTGATTGCATGGATCATCTGAAAGTGACCAACAGATGCATTCAAATACCTAATTATACAATTTGTTCAAAAACGATCATAAAAATAAACTTGGATATAAAATTGAACCAAAGATGCAATAATATAAGGTCATGAATCTCATGATGATCTATTAAATGAAGGTCAACAGGTTCATTTTCATGACACTTTATTATAAAACATGACTACACCACTAACAATAGTGATCTAGAACTAAAGGGAGATCTTAGTTGAAATAAATGAAGCATGGAATGACTTTAATATGGATGTTAAACTCACCTAGATCATATTTGAGATGTTATCTTACACAAGTTACATATTTAAAAGATAATTCCTATTTAAGAACAGAACAGACACCCAAACTTTTAAAATGTTATTCTTAACCTGCAGTCATACAAGAGGATAAAGCAAGACGTAATTAGGCATGCTTGTTTGTTAAAGTATTGTATTTTTTAACATTTTTTTGTTAAATGACCAAAACTCCTTAACCATTAAAAACAAACAGGGTTTGTTTATTTGTTTGGGGGGGATGTTATATGTCAGTTAGGTATGGTCAACTTTTGGTTAAGTTATCATATATCATATGTATAAGAGAGTTATTTCTCCTCAACCAGTTATTGAGTATTGTGGAATACAGTCCGTATTTGCTTTATATATAAGTTTTACAGTAAACTGTTCTCTGGATTTATTGTGACAATATGTAAATGCGTTCGTGAAATAGAAATTTATTATTGAGAAGTAGTTTAAGAAATAATTCATAGGGGCTAAATTTTATGGTGATTTTACCTCATGTTGGCCCTTTATGCTAAATATTTTACCACCAGCAATAAGACTGTTAATCTAGGATTATATAAAATAACAATAAATGTAGTCAACAACCTAAAAATATGGGAAATTGTTATACTCAAGATGATGCCTGAATGGTTATTGTAGGTCCCAGCGTCCCACAACATTTAGCAACTAAACAGAGTTTTTTTTTAAAGAAAGAATACAAGCTTAATATCAGAACATCAAATTTATTTCAAAAGTCTAAAGCTTAATATCATTTATATGATGCCCAACTGATTAGCATGATTGCCTTTGTCCACAAGTCTAAAGGGATTAAAATCCAGAATAGAAAAAAAAATGTTTATGTTAAACATACTTTATTTGCTTAAATATGCAAAAGGAATGAGACACAAGTTAATCAAACTTATTAAGTCTTCTCCTAGAAAAAAAATGTCCCACTGGCTTAAAATTTTTTTGGAAGCCCTGGGTTCCACAACATTTAACAATGAAACAGAGTGTTAAGAATACAAGCTTGCTGACTTAAAATAATATTTTCATATCTGCTAGCATTAAAGCAAGATCATTTAATGGCAAAAAAGTTGTTGATTTACTGGTTATCAATCTACAGCTATGCCAGAAACTTTTAGAATCTTATAATTCTCTTATTGGTTTGAAGTGGTTTTAAACCCATTCAAGGCGTATGATGCCTCAAGGCATCACCTGGTAACGGTCGCGTGATGCCTCAAGGCATCATGGAAAATGAAAAACGCACTGCCTACTTTCAGTTTAAAAATCAGGTCAATTGCATAAAGCTGTAAAGCATCCGTTACCATAATGTGTTAAAAGGTTTAAGATTTTTATATAATGTATAAATTTTGGCAATAAAAGTAATAGTTATGTCATTTATTCGTACTTTCGATTTGCATTTCTGTGCCGTCATTTTTCGAACTTGTCAGTGACATGTGCAGTCAACGTGATTGCTTTAAAAATTGAAAGTTTATTACCTTACACGCAAAATCTTTAAACCATTTACATATCGCTGTTTTAAAAAGTTATGCTCTGTACTTAAAGAGTGTTTAATAAAAAGATAAGCCGGTAATTTCTGCATCTTTTCCTTTCCTATACACTGCTCACAAAATTTATTAGGAAAATAACTATATTTTCAAAGTAAAAGTAATATTTTACATTTTTTTCAAAGCTGGTTCAGTATAAGGGAAACCATTTGTTATGAAAACACTGAAAAATTTTTCTGGATAAAAAAATTTCCTTCATGTACATTTTACATATAACAATACCTGCAATTGGTGGGCCAATCAGAGTAGCCACTCCCTGGAACATTAGAAGTAAACCAAAAGCATTGGTCAGTTTATCTATACCTAACAAGTCTACTAATACAACAGATGTAAGTCCCACGTATACACCTGAAAAAATACAAAAAAATATATATGTAATAGACGCATATCAATGTATGTAAGAAACTATTTTTTATTATTATACTTCATGTCAAAATGCAAGATTTTGATTGGTTAATACAAGGGAGACAATTTACTCTATCCAATGGCAAATACTCTATTACCCTTCACGGAGACGCTTGCTCAAGTGTGTGCTTTTATAAATACGGATGATTGTTATGTACTAGACGACATAGTTTATTACTTTGAATTTGAAATTTAATAGACAGTAATTACAGAACATTCAGTATAATAAATTAGATAACACATATCTGAGAGGGTGATAGAGCAGATTGTTACCCTTGAAAAAGACATCGTCAACTTTGGCTTCGCCTCAGTTGACAATGTTTCCTTGGGGTAACAATCTGATCTATCACCCTCTCAGCTATTTGTTATTTATATAATGTTGGATGATACTGATTTAAAATTGTGGTACCAATACTTTTTTCATAGCTTCAAATACATACATGTCAAATGTTTTTGGTACAGTACAATAATTACCTAATCCTTAACGCAGTATTTATGATCTACAGGGGTAAATTCAGTAAATAAATATACGTCATCAGGGACCGCCCATTTGGGGGAGAGCTTTCTGAATAAAACTGAAGTCATGTGCTCTTCTGATTGGTAGATAATGTTTGTAATAAATATTTTTTGATAGATGGATAAAAACTAGAGTTGAAAAAAAAAAAAAAAATAAATGCTGAATGTACTAAATTTTTTTACGACAGGGTTGAAAAGTAATGGGGGTCAGTGAAGGAATTAAGTGCGAATCTACAGTGTTTGTAAACAAGGCCATGTGAATGCCCAAAAATGCCGCATGACCCTATGTTTTTATTGTTGCAAATGATAGGGCTACATTTGTACTTTCATGAATGATAAATGAAATTTTCTAATTTCTAAAGGTAAATCAGGTATAAATTTAATTCAAGACATAGATTAGCATTACAGTCAATGGGAGATTTTTTACTGAATTTACCCCTATAGGAAAATATGCATTCTGTCACTGTACTTGTCCAAGGCCACACAATAATCACAAAACTTATTTCCTGTGTATATTAATGCAATGGAAGCATTTTGGAACCATTTGAAGTTGTTTTTTACACAAATTTCTATGTTTAACTCGGCTATCCAAGATGCACTGAGTGTACTGTGAGAGGAAGCATGGGGTATATGGTAAAAATCAGTTTTTGTGTCCAGATTGAAAGAAACAATAGAAATTACACTTGAGAGTTATGATATCAATGAAAGGCATAAATATTCCCCCCATTTTACAACACATTTTGCACATATTTCTCCTCATTATGTGTAAAATCATATGGAAAATCAGAACTACCTCCCTTTGACAGTGTATTTTTTTTAGCTGTGTTTCACCATGTTAAGTTGTAGAACAAGTTGTAAATAAGCACTTTTCAAGTATTTTAACACTTGAATAATCTGACCGCATGAAGATATTCATTTATTTTTACATAACGCATTGCGTTTCTTTATTTAAAAAAAATTGTAGATAACTTTTTATGATTACATGCCCTTCATCTATGAAACTAGTGTTGAAATGTTTGTAATTGGATTTCTATGTTAAATAATTGCTTTTAAATATTCTAATTTGTTACTTTAATCTTCCAAATGCAAAGTTTGGTCATACCCAGTCTTGTTTTTTCATATTCGGCACTTTTTTCTACTTCAGTTTTGTCTGTCTAGTTTTGGCGAAGAAACCATCCTGATGTTGGGGTAACAGGAATTTCTGCAGAGTGATTGTCAATGACATTTTGTGAACTTTACAAGTAATTAAAACACAAATTTAGTAAAATGAAACATAATTGTTGGTTTTTTTTGTATGAAACTGCTTTAAAAAGCCTTTGAAAAGTGTTTTTGTGGTCTTTTCAGGGTATTTAATCAAACACTTCCATTCCATATAAGGCAAAATTTAACTAAGAGTACATCAAGACTTTAGTTTCTAGATGTACTTGCAATACTGGTCAAAGCAAACACAGAAAACAATTCATATTTATTAAGCATAGTATTTTACACCATTCTTTTACAAACAGTCAATATGCAACTTTATATACCAAATATACATTGGCCGCAGTATGGGCTGTAGTATAAATTTTCCTCTATCTTTACAAGTTCAGCATTTATGAATGTTGTATTGAAACTGGAACTTGGAAATTGGATACATTACATGATTATTACAAAAAAAAGAGGGAAAAGCTACTAAAAAGTCCCTTATAGGGGTAAATTCAATAAATAAATATATGTCATCAGGGACCGCCCATTTGGGGGAGAGCTTTCTGTATAAAACTGAAGTCATGTGCTCTTCTGATTGGTAGATAATGTTTGTAATAAATATTTTTTGATAGATGGATAAAAACTAGAGTTGAAAAAAAACAAAAAATAAATACTGAATGTACTAAATTTTTTTACGACAGGGTTGAAAAGTAATGGGGGTCAGTGAAGGAATTAAGTGCGAATCTACAGTGTTTGTAAACAAGGCCATGTGAATGCCCAAAAATGCCGCATGACCCTATGTTTTTATTGTTGCAAATGATAGGGCTACATTTGTACTTTCATGAATGATAAATGAAATTTTCTAATTTCTAAAGGTGAATCAGGTATAAATTTAATTCAAGACATAGATTAGCATTACAGTCAATGGGAGATTTTTTTACTGAATTTACCCCTACATTCTATCTCTATCCCAATATTTCTAATGATAATTTTGTTCAGTTGCATTTCATGTAGAAATGTGTCACCTGTCATAACAAATACCTGTAATCAACTGCATAATTTAATAAAAATACAGAGTTCCAATGTCCCCCATATTTCATCTATCTAAGGTACAAGGGCAATAACTAAAAAAACACTTTTTTTTGTTCTTTAAAACAATTATAAGTATCTTTGAGAAATGAAGGCTTCAGAGCAAATACAATGCAATTTCCAGTTAAAGTTAATATTTCCAAGTAGCATAACTCGTTAAAAATATTTGATCAGCACTTTTTTTTCGAAAGTGTGATCAATGTAAACTTATTCAATTTTGAATAAACTTATTCTTAAAGGTTATCAATTTAACACTATAATCTTTTGATAAATTAAAACATAAAAAAATGTATTGCTATACATTTATGAAAACTTATTGTCCTACATCATGTCGATTCTATTGACTTAAATCTTTAATAACACAAGGTCATGCTTTTCTCAGAATGTTTAAGATGTCTTTATGCTAAATCTGTTGGATGTGTACTGATTGATATTTTAGTTTGGGAGAACTTGTTTAAATTCTTCCACATTTTGTGATGTTGGGATTTTTTATAGCTGACTTGTGCAATATGGGTTTTGTTCTTTGTTGAAGGTCATACGTTGACCTATAGTTGCTTACATCCTTGTAATTTGGACTCTGGTTCTTTGTTGTCTCATTGGCAATCATACCAGATCTTTCTTTATAAAGATGCATTATATTTAAACAATGCAAACACCACTGAAGCCCAAACCATAAATATTTCTTAAGTCACAGCATAAACTTGTGATGTGACGTCATTTACATTGGTGCGGATATAATCATTTGTTTTTATAAAAAAAATGAAATCTGACTCCTGACAACAAAAAAATATTTGGAAAACTAAGAGTCAAATCCGAAGAAAAGTGTATTTATTCCATTTTAATGAGGACATTTTTGAAGATCCTTAGAAAACTGTTAAATCTGTTATCCTTACTTAGAACATTCTATCATTATGCATCAGATAGGCCATTTTTCTTGTTGCTATTAAATAATTTTACAAGCAATTAAGACAGACACATACAATTTGAACCTAAAAAACACAGTAAATAATGAATAAAGCAACAAACCAAATATATAACACTGAAATTTTAGAGTGAAATAGCAAGGGACGGATTCATGATCAAAAGTTTATATTAAATATCAATACTAAGAAAAGCTATCTCTCACAAGTGAATTCAAGTCATTAAACATTGTTGAATGAAGTACTTAAAATGCCTTAAAATTGCAATAAAACCCAAAATTTAACTTGTTTCCATTACTATTGATGTTATTTATCATTTTATAATCTAAAAATCAATATTAAATTACTTTTCATTATTTAAGTATTAGATACACCTTGAGGGCGGTACCCCAAATGGGTGTATCTGATTTTCACCAAGATATTATTGTCAATACAGAATGATAGTTTTCAACAATTTAGGAGGAGTCTTTCTTCAGCGATTTTACCATGTTAATGAAAAGCATGATAAGTGCAGGGTATCCAATTTTATTTATCAACATCTTGGTGTAGATATGGAAGCTGCAATTATATTGGTCTTGTGGAAGATAATTATGTATTTTCCCTACAAATAATGGTGTATCTAACAGATTCAATGGCTTTCCTTTGTCATACAAAAAGACATTTTTAAATTTTCTTAAGGTATATGATAAGCTATGTCATGAAAAAATATTTTCAGTTTTCTTGTTAAATATCAAGTTGTTTCCATGAAAACTAACTGGGACCAATATATAAATTATGTATAAGCCCCAGATACTACTAACTGGAATTTAGCAAAACCTATATCCTAAAAACATTAGCTTTAGTGAAAAATATAAACTTTTTCTTAAATGTATTTGGAAAAACATGATAGAAACTGCAAGCATAAACTATATTTGCGATAGTATAAAAAGTTCTATCATTTTGATATAAAGCCCATAGCCCACAGGGAAGTTATCTAACTAAATTAACTGTCTATATGTAAGAGTCTAATCTTATTATTATCTATGTGCAGCCTCTAATCTTTGCCTTAAGAAATCATGAAACTCAAATCTCTTGTCCTTTTTATATATATCCGCAAAATCTTTTCCGCAAGTTTATTGTTTTCTGTTTGGTAATAAATTAATAATAAGATCTATTTTGATACATCTTGTGATCCGTTTATTTGGCAATCGCCAATGGCAGTCAGCAGGGTTTAAGAACATCAGTTGTTCGACCTGCTAGTCAAATGCGTTTTGTTAAAATATACTTTTTCACTCATTTGGTCTTTTTGAAAATGTTGTTTGTGCTGTATTTAGACCCCTCTACCAAAAAATTTGTTTTGCATGCACACGTATAAAAATTGCGGTTTTTATCCAAAGCAATCATAGATTTGAACGTTGTTTTCAATTTAGACTTGTTTATATTTTTTCGTTTGGGCTTGTATTATATTTGCCTTCGGGTTTATATGATCCGTTCATCCTATTTTGACTCTTTCAAAATTCAAGAGTCTATCCTAAATTGAGGTAAATTATATGGCCTTCCAAATATCGTTCCGATTCCTAACATCACTGAAGAGACATTAATTGTCGAAATCCGGATATGGTGTACAAATTTTTGCACCTCATGTTTGAGGAAAAGGGACATTGAGTTGTGATGTCTATAATACACAATATAGAATAGGACATGGAATAGATACTAGAACCTGGATTTACGACTGGACATAGATTTGACTCTTACTGTTACATATGAATATAACTTTCAACTAAAGGATTTACTTAAAATAAAGCTAAGAGCCACCAGTGAAGTTATTTATCCAGATTAACTTTATAAATTTAAGGGACATAACTGAGAAATTCTTCAATCTCACTAACTTTTTTGTCGTTTGTATTTTACATAAGGTTAAAAATATGAAGTTTTTTATCAGGCTTTTTTTTATTTTGACTTTTTCAATGAACCTTTTTTATATTCTATTGAACCAGGTAATAGGGATAGAGATGAATATTCACAACACTAAATTTAACTCAGCCAAATTTTATTGCACCTATACTAAAACTTTGAACTCTTCAGTGGTTGTCAGTGATAATATCTTGTCGTTTTGTCCTTATTAATAAGGAATTTTGTGTTTATGGCAGATCTTCAATTGATCTATTTTTATAGACTTCTGCTGATACAGAGCTTAATCGACATGGTTTTGGATACATGTCTATCTATCTGCCAGACCTCTAAGACCTTTTTGAGTGGGTTTTTTTTTGGTGTTTTTTGGTTGCTGTCTAATTGGTGTATTTCTCACATCACCTTTATTAGTACAGAAAAGCAAAACTTCTGCACTTTATGACCTTTATTCTTATTCTTGATGATTGTATGATAAATCATGTTCTAGTATTCCAGATTAAATTTAATTAATTCATGATGTTAGATTGTACTAACAGATACAGAATACATCAACATGTATTTAATTGAAATCCAATAAGACACCAGATGTCATTATCCTAAATCACACAGATATAAGTTTATTAATAGTCATGTTCTTGTCCCAGATTAAGAATCTTGCCCATCTTTTCAGGTCCTTAGTCTATTAAGAAATTGATGTGATATAAAATGTTGTTTATATGATTGACGTATCTGTAGAACTTGTCAAGACTATTGCTGATTTATTGTTTTTCAAAGGATGCATGGGGTAATTGTCCATTGTTAAAAGACAGATGATCTCTAAATGTGTATTTTGGTAATGTTTAGTAGCTGGATTGATGTCTACTTGTTGTTCAGTCACATGTCCTATTACTCACACAGTCAAAACATGTCTAACTCTAAACCAAACCCTCCTAAAACTAAAAAGTGTGTAAACTGAACTCTTGTATCAAGACATTCATTGAATATTTTTTAGTCAATTAACTTGTGTAAACTGAACACCTGTGTAAACTCAACACTTGTATCCAGATATCTATTGAACATCAATCTTTTGTGAACTAACCAGTGTAAACTGGACAGACACCTGTCTAAACTGAACACTTGTATCCAGATATCTATTGAATATTCTTTTGTGAACTAACTTGTGTAAACTGGACACCTGTCTAAACTGAACACTTGTATCCAGATATATATTGAATATTCTTATGTGAACTAACCTGTGTAAACTGGACACCTGTTTAAACTGAACACTTGTATCCAGATATCTATTGAATATTCTTTTGTGAACTAACTTGTGTAAACTGGACACCTGTCTAAACTGAACACTTGTATCCAGATATCTATTGAATATCAATCTTTTGTGAACTAACCTGTGTAAACTAGACACCTGTCTAAACTGAACACTTGTATCCAGATATCTATTGAATATTCTTATGTGAACTAACCTGTGTAAACTGGACACCTGTCTAAACTGAACACTTGTATCCAGATATCTATTGAATATTCTTATGTGAACTAACCTGTGTAAACCTGACACCTGTCTAAACTGAACACTTGTATCCAGATATCTATTGAATATTCTTTAGCAAAATGATCATGTGTAAACTGGACACCTTTCTTATCAAACCAAAATAACAGTTCCAGAAACACTTTGTCTAAACAGTTTTCACTGTGTAATGATAAATATCAATAAAAGTATAGATCATACCATAAAATATCAGATACTTGAGATAAAAATGAGGCAGAAGATACCAAGGTGATATTAAAAACTCAAAAGAAGAAGAGAAAATGACAAATTAATGACAACAACTCCTGTTCTTAACAAATTTTTTTCTATTATAGTAGCATAAAAACCATTTTCCAGAAGTTCTGAACACTTTTTCATAGGTTTTTTTAATTATATAAGTTAAATAATTGTGTGTATCATCAGGAAGCAAGTTTCTCATTTCTTTTAAGAAAAGAAAAGTCTCTCTCTATAACTGCTACTACCAGAAACTTCAAATGAAACAACTATCAAACTTGTTCTTATGAATGCAAAAAAAAAAACATGAAAGGGACGTAAGCAGTTATATGAGTGAGTCGTGGTGTCTGAGTTGCTAATATAACATTCCAGCCATAGTATTTCAGTACACATACCAAATTTAATTGTTTAATAATATTTACCCCTATCAACATACATACCTATAAATGCACCAAATACAGCTGCATAACCTTGGAGGTATGGTAAACTGTTATTTAATGGACTCAAAGCAGTAGCAACACCACATATAACTAAGGCAGTGTTGTATAACATCAGTCTATTAACCCATGGTCTGTCAGCTAACCAGCCAAATACAATACGACCAATTGTATTGGTTATACCAATCACAGAAACCAAAAAGGCACTACTGTTTTCATCAATTCCAGCTTCCTCGGCACAAGTTGGTAGATATATATAAGGCATGTTAAAACCAATACTGGTGCAAATATTTGAAACAACAAACAGTACAAATATAACATCCTTAAGCAAAGAAAAGTCTAACATTTGATGAATGGCATCTTTCATTTCCGGTGACAAATTCAGACAACGTAAAAGAAACCATTCTTTATCATCTGATATCATTTCTGGTATGGACTGAATACTTGTTATATACATCTCTGGATTAGACTTGTATTGTGGAATGTTCATTAAACTTCCGCTATAAAATATATCTTTCCTATTGAAAACATTTGATCCTGTTACTCTCTGGACAGGTGTAAAAGAATGTTGACGATTAAATGAAGGAACAACAATGGCTGATAATGGTGATGAGGGTTCTGAATAATTCCCATTAACTTTATGAATAGCTCCATCACTTCTGAACATATTTACATTATTTGTCTCTGTCAACCTTAATTGATCTAGTACATGATCTTTAATTGGTTTTCTTTCTTCACTAACTGTAATTACTGGAACGTGATCTCCAGCATTTCCATTCTGTATTTTCTTATCAAGAAGCACTTCCTTTTCAGAACTATGTAATTCACCATTTTCTTCATCATTAGCTGACATACTGTAAGTTAATGGTCTAAATAAAGCACCACAAAGAATACAGTTCAAAATAATCCCTGCTTCTATAAGAGCAGCTCCCTGCCATTTGTATTCATCCACCAAAAATTTAGACAAAGGAGCAAATATAAATGTACCTATACCTGACCCACATACTGCTAGCCCAGTAGCAAATGATCGCTTTGTATCAAAATAATGTGACACACTCACAATGGCTGGCAAGTACATTAATCCAAAACCCAAACCTAAAATAAACTTAACAGTTAGGCAATGTGTAGACTGAAATAATTACAAAAATCATGACATTACAGAATATGAAATTATCTGTTTCTACAGTTATTATCTACAGGCACACTAGAGCTTTTGTCTCTTTAACTGAATCATTGTGCATCTTCAAAAATGTCCACTCTCTCTTTTATAATCTTATTTTGCTGATTTTTTGTTGTTTACAGTTTCTCTCTTTTAGCATTTTTTGTTGTTGATAGTTTTATGATAATAGACAAAACCCAAATATTTGGTAATATTTGTTATTTTAGTGCTATAACTTCTATATGGAGTTGTCTGACTATTTTGTTCCATATAAAAAAAATATGTTGATCTTCTGAACATTATTTCTAAAACTTGTTATATGAACCATTAAAACGAGATGAAGAACAATGGACACAGGGCAGACAGAAACTTAGTTACATATATAAGAATGACTCTGAACTGTAATGGTCACGCTGAAATACAATGGTTTGACGCTGAAGTGCATATTTTATCATTGTTCAGTGCAATGATGGCATTGTGACGCTATATTGTTAATAGCTACACCGAAGTGTGTTTGTGGTAACGCTGAAGTGCGAAGGATTACATAAATTATATTTTCAATGTTTTCAATTGTTTGTTAGAAGCAGTTTTTCAAGTCTAAAATTAAATCATCAAGAGTATGCAGCAAAATCAAAAAGGATGATCTCTCATTAAGTATGAAACTGCAACTAAGACATACCAAATATATGAAATATATTCTTACTGTTTGTTTGTTTATTCTACATTGGCTAGAGGTATAGGGGAAGGGTTGAGATCTCACAAACATGTTTAACCCCGCCACATTTTTGCGCCTGTCCCAAGTCAGGAGCATCTGGCCTTTGTTAGTCTTGTATGTTTTTTTAATTTTAGTTCATTTATATGTTTCAGAGTTTAGCGTGATGTCCATTTTCAAGGAACTAGTACACATTTTTGTTTGGGGCCAGCTGAAGCCTGCCTTTCGGCTGCAGGATTTTCTCGCTGTGTTGAATACCCATTGGTGGCCTTGGGCTGTTTTCTCTCTTTGGTTGGGTCTCTTTGACACATTACCCATTTTCATTCTCAATTTTATTGTATTTTAAATGTTGCAAACAACGTTTCAGGAGATGTACATTAAAGGTATAGATGGAAATACAATGTTGGCAGGGATCTTATAGATGATATTCAAACAGTATACAATTATCACATAATCCTGATTTGTATGGTAAACAGAATTATTGCAGAATGATTATTCTTTTTATGATTCTATTATTTCAACGATACACATACATAACAGACTTATACAAAAATTTTAAGCAGTTGCTGTCACTGCTGTAGGATTAGTATCCCTTTGTATTGCTTTGTTTCACTTCAAGACATTCATTATTTATAAATAACCTTGCCAAATATTACGAGTTGTTTCTTAACAAAGAACACAAAGCAAATTCTAATTAATCAGTGTTAATAGTGTTATCATAGTTCTTGAGCATTCTAAAATGAGTAATTTTGCAGATGAAACTTGTGTTTATAGAATCACATCTTATTTAAACATTAAAACATAATTTACAGAATGTGAAAATAGTGCAGTATTTATTGATTTACATATAATTAGACAGTTAAATCTACAGGAATCTATTCTAATACTGTAACTTCAAGCAAAATGGCATAGAATCAATTTAAATCATATTTTCACGACATATAGTCTGCAATCATAACCTTCTGATTTTTAGAGCAATGTCTTGATTTTAAATGTGTGGGAAAGAAAGCGATTTCTTGTAAAATTTTCTAAGATTGTTATCTCCAAAAGTCTTAACCCTTATACTATGTTCTTCCTCATCTTAAATTTTCAGATGTATAATGTTATTGCGAAATGGCGATTTAATAAGAAACCCAATCATAATAAATTGAACTAAATTATTTCAATAACAATATTTAAAGGGACACAACTCATGAACGATGAAAGTGACACCACCCAAATTCTAACTTGATCTGTGTTTGGTGGTAATAAGCATTGTGTATTCGTTTCGTAACATTTGGTTAAGGCAACCTAAAGTTAGATTGCGGAAATGGCAAATTTTTCCATTTATAAAGGGACATGACTCAAGAACATTGAGTGATTGACTGTAGTCATTCAACTTCTCAACATTTTGAAATTTAGTTTTGATATGGATTTGCTAAAGGGCACATACACTTGCATCATATAATGTTCACATGATTTTCTGTAGTTTACCTGATAAGATACCAAATGTAACATATAAGTAGTAAATATTTGGTGCAAATAAACTCAGTATAAATCCTAAAGATGCTACCAGCGCTCCAACTACAGTAACTTTCCGACATCCATAACGATTTGTCAAGGCACTTGCTACAGGACCTAGAATGTAAAGTAATATATTAAGTAAAACATATTTATAAAATAATGTACTGTAAATTCAGAAATTATTGCGATGTTTTTATTATTGCGAAAAATGTGACAGGATAATAATCGCAATAATTTAAACTCGCATTTTGAAATTTTTTATATGAATTAAACAGGATTTTTATCAATATCACAAAAATTAAAATCGCATTTTATTCTAAAATGACAAAATCACAATAATAAATGCACGCAATAATTTCTTAATTTACAGTAATAAGTTACATTAACAATGTTTTTTATATCTTTTCACAGTTTATTTTATTACCGTTTTACTCATGTATAATAAAATGATTCTAGCTATTTCTAGAAAATGTCATCTATAACAACATCAATTTATATCAACTGTTATTTATTCTTCTGACTGAGGTTTATTTATAACCACTGCTGGTGGATGTTTCCTCCACAAGGGTATCACCAACCCAGTACAGTCAGCCCTTTTGGGTAACAACATGAATTATCATTGATATGGTCATATAATTATAAGTTAACGCTGAATTTTTCAAAACATTAAGGATTTTCTACTCCAGGAATAAACTATATATACTTTAGCTGTATTTGGCACAACCTATTGGAACTTTGAGTCCTCAATGCTCTTCAACTTCACACTTTTTTTGGCCTATCTAACTTAATTTTTTTATTCAAGCGTCACTAATGAGTCTTTTGTAGATGAAACAAGCGTCTGGCGTACAAAATGTTAAGCATGGTATCTATGATGAGTTTATTTACATCAACTTTTATTTATTTATTTTTTTGACTGAATTTACATCAACATAGACTTAACTGAAAAATTGTATTATAATCTTTAAACTTACCAACAAGAAGACAAACTCCAGGAACAAGTGATCCTATCCAGGCAGTGTCTCCTTTACCTGCTTTAAACTCATCTAAAAACTCAATATAAAATACTCCAAATGAGTAGACAATTCCATCAGCAATAATATGTAACATAAATGATCCTAAGACAACAGCCCAACCCCATCCCCCGTCAGGAGGAGTGGGTTGTCCATTGTCTGTTGTTGTCTGATGTCTACCTTTACCCATCCTTCTACATCAGGTTAACAAATAAACAAGGTTCAAGGTTACGCTTAGGTACTCCAGTACGGTAATTACTGTCCTGTTAATTAGTACGATAATTTTTTACATCAATATGGAGGAAAATGTTGTCAAGATATGATCAGTCATTCTCTATGTAGAAGTCCGGAATGCAGCAACCAATAAAATCTTGCTCTCAAAATGTTAAAATTCTCTTGACCAATGTTCAGTCATTCTAAATCAAATGCCAAAATCTGAAAAAAAATTTGAAACAGTTAACTTTTATTTATAGGTACATTTGTCCTAATTATAGATAGGTGAATGATAAACACATAGTGTAGGAGTTATTTCTAGCTATTTCTATAACATACATTAGTTACATGTGCATGTGCAAGTTAAAATTACTACCCAATACTTACATTAATGTTCGTTTCTGGGATGATACATGTTTGAAATGTAATTGTAACAATGTTATACAAATAAATACTTCCACAGTGAACATAAGCTGACATCATGGGTTTTCAATAATTTGCCTAGATATAATGTACTCTTTTCTTTGGAAATTCTTTAATGAATTGATAATCACAAGTTACATCTGGGGATTCATTACATAGCCTCTGAATATCAATTACTTTTTTTTTTAATCTGAACCTCTTTTAATAGAAATTAAAGTATGGTGTGTAAAAGATATTACTCTGTCTGATCTTTTTCAATCAAAAAAATTTATAGAGTAAAACACTAAAGTCATAGAATAGAACTTATTACAAGACATATCTCCTGCAGACATGCAAGTACTTAAAAAAAAATATAACACACTTTAAATATTGAAGTAGCAGTTCATAACTGTTTGTACCACTAAAACCAAGATCTTTCCAGTATATGATACTATTGTTTGTACTGCACTTATCTAAATTTATTAATTTATATGCAACCTGATTTACACTTTGGCCTGAATAATAAATTTTCCATAATTGCATAAAACTGCAGTTTTTTTTAACCCTTACCTAACTTTATTCAACAATACAATACTTCGCTGAGCGCAGCCTGATACGACCGCAGAGGTCAAACCCTGAACTGTTGGGGCAAATTTGGACACAATATTCAAGCTTGATACTGTCTGAATTTGGATTGTGATAACATTTTTGAAATAAAAGAGGTTTCTGACACAAAATAAATGTGGTCAAAGATCTTAAAAATCTATTGCGCAATACTGTGCATTTGAAGATTTCTTCTTGAAAATTTTCAAAAAATTAGAAATTTCAAAAATTTTGAAGAAAAAAGTATGAGCCCCCCCAAAAAATCAGAACCCCCCCTCTTGGAGTAATTACCCCCAAACTCAATCCCAGCCGTCCCTTTGTAGTATGGAACCTTGTAGTACAATTTTAGAGAGATCTATACACTTAAACACAAGTAATTGTCTGGAAACTAGAAAAATACTTGTTTTTGGCCCCTTTTTTTCCCCCCTAATTCCTGTATGTTTGGGGCAATTACCCCAAAACTCAATCCCAGCCTTCCCTTTGTGATATGGAATCTTGTGGTACAATGTCAGAGAGATCCATACACTTACACATCAGTTATTGTCCGGAAACTACAAAAATGCTTGTTTTTGGCCCCATTTTGGTCCCTAATTCCTAAACTATTGGTATCAAAACCCCCAAAATCAATCCCAACTTTCCTTTTGTGGTATTGAACCTTCTGGTAAAATTTCATAGAGATCTATTCACTTAAACAAAAGTTATTGTCCGGAAACCAAATGTGTCTTGGACGACGACATCGCCCAAATTTTTGCAGTCATATAAAAATCAATCAACCAATTTTTTCTGTAGATAAATGAGTTGTGCAGTTCACTCCTTAATTTCATTATTCTTCATCATATTTTCTACTTAGCTCAATATTCGTTCAGACAGTACTTAATAAACTGACCTGTTTATGTCCAATCCACATCCAAATTAAATCACCGAAAACATAAACAAACAACATAAATATAACCCAATATCAGATAACATATAATCCAGTAGATATTTAATATTGCACAACACAAACCTTGAAAACACCCTTTGTTATGGTCTAAATATAATGATTCAGTCAACTGATCAATTTAAATTACAGTCATAAAAAGTACTGTTGTCATTACTTGTTCAATAAGCTATACAACCTTGCATGCTTCATTGAAAACTAATTTACAGATTCTTTGAACAGCTGAACTAATTGAAGAAGAAATATATTAGGACATTGGCCTTGAGTATCTTTCTGAAATTGAGAATGCACATGTTTTATTGATAAAATTTTACACTTTCTTTTTTTAATGTCCCAAATTTTCAAAAAAAAAAATTAGATATTCTATCATCCCTATCCATCTGTCTATCAAACATTCTATTTTTGTACATAAATTGTTTTTTCATTTTTAACTTTTTGAAAAACATTACGCTTGATAATACATTTGCTTGTTTTCTTGGTTAAAGCAATAGTACTGGATCTATGATTGTATATCTAATTTAATTTTTAAATTGGGTAGCAATGTTCCTTTTAACATCCTGTTCAGATGTGAAATCACAGAAACCCAAAGTTTAAAAGACTGAGAAATTCAATCACACACAAAGTTAAGGAATAATGTGACTCTACTTTCTTCAATATTTGTAGGGTCAGAGTTCATAAGAATACATACTCAAACATAATTCCTGAATTTGATTTGGATTATTTATGACCCTAACATGCCTAATTAATCTCAGGTATTAAAATGTCTACATCAAGTCTCTTATTTTCCACATAGGTAACTTCATAAAAAATATACAAAAAATAATCTTTGTTCAAATCTGATAAAAACTAAAACTAAATACAAGTACATAGAGAATATCATATGGCTTTTTCAATATCACATCCGTATCAACCAGAGACACCAATATAATCCCAAGAGCTCTGCTCGAGGGATTATATTGGTTGAGGATTGATACGGTGTGTGATATTGAAAAAGCCATATCATATACACTTTATTATATACATATACCTCACATAGATGTTTTTTATGTGACATGACGTCATACAGGTAAGGAGGTTTGAAATGACGTCATACAGATTATAGGTTTGACATGACATCATACATATTAGGGGATTGATAAAGCATTTGCAACCGTGAGTGCAATTGATGACGTGACGTCATTGAGATTAAAGGTGTGATAAAGGGCTTTGGAACCACAGGTGGTTGATACAGCACGCTTGCCAATGATTGTATTACACATACAATTTATCTGTATTTACTACTAAGTATATAATAAATATACATATCAAAACAAGTGACGGCTTTTGTCACAGTCCTATTGAGAATCCATAATAATAAATAAACCTTCATTTTGTGCAAAGGAATTTTACTTTTAAATTTCATAAGAACTAAAGAAATGTAGATGCTCTCCACCTTTTTTTGTTTGAAATCCTGAATCTGCCTCTGAAAACAATAAGAGAGTTTTATCTTTTTTCGTCACTTAAAACTCAATTTTTTAACAATAAGTCAAGTGAACCAACACTTTATGGTGGTACAAGCTGGTAGAGTTATCAGGATGAATACCGAAAGTATGCTGCAGTTGTCTAAAAATATCATAAATCCAAACTATTAAAAGACATGCAACAACATCATTGTTACGGCAAGAAAATTCTTCATTAAGGTAACATGATTTCAATTTTTCACTCAATTTTTTTTAGTTTTAATATACATTTAAGTACTTTTTAAATGCAAGTTACTGATCTCCAATAATATATGTTTTCTCACAATTTTGAATACCGGGGGTTCATTTATTTTCGTGGGTACCAATTTCGTGGTTTTACATAAGTCTGCTTACAGAAAATTTGAAATTTTCAAGAAGTTGAACATTTAAATTTGTGGTTTACCCGTAGCCATTAAATCCACGATCATTATTATCCCACGAATAATAATGATGAATCCCCAGTATCAATATTACAACTTATTTATGACATGACATATGTAAAGTGGTTAGTAACCAAAGTTGTTATTACAACAAGAAATGATTGTAACAGGATGCTGTTACGAAGTTTCCCAAACGAAGCTCCCATAATTCGTAATTCCCAGGGTCGCCTAACATTGGGCAATGTCCAGTGAAAATTGGTTTGATCCAGTAAAGTAATATGCATTAGTGATGCCTGGGGACTAACCTTGTATATCATTCAAATAATCTTGGCATGACAAACCAGAATATATATGGTTTAGGGGTGGGGATCTCGACCATTTACAAGATACTAGAACAATGGGGGGTGGGGGAACCCCTGGGGACTGACCCTATACGTCATTCAAATGTTCGTTACATGACGAACAGGAATATATATGGTTTAGGGGTGGGGATCTCAACCATTTACAAGATATAAGAACATTGGGGGTGGGGGGAACCCCTGGGGACTGACCGTATACGTCATTCAAATGTTCGAGACATGACAAATAGGAATATATATGGTTTAGGGGTGGGGATCTCGACCATTTACAAGATATTAGAACTTTCTCAAATGGCAGGGGGTCAGGATGACCCCTGGGGACTAACCCTGTATATCATTCAAACCATCTTAGCATAACAAACCAGAATATATATGGTTTAGGGGTGGGGATCTAGACCATTTACAAGATATTAGAACTTTCTCAAATGGCAGGGGGTCGGGATGACCCCTGGGGACTAACCCTGTATATCATTCAAACCATCTTAGCATAACAAACCAGAATATATATGGTTTAGGAGTGGGGATCTTGACCACTTACAAGATATTAGAACTTTCTTAAATGGCAGGGGGTGGGGGTGACCCCTGGGGACTAACCCTGTATTTCATTTGATGTGCTTTATCATGACAAACCAGAATATATATGGTTTAGGGGTGGGGATCTTGACCACTTAGAAGATATTAGAACTTTCTTAAATGGCATGGGGTGGGGGTGACCCCTGGGGACTAACCCTGTATTTCATTTGATGTGTTTTATCATGACAAACCAGAATATATATGGTTTAGGGGTGGGGATCTCGACCATTTACAAGATATTAGAACTTTCTCAAATGACAGGGGGTCGGGATGACCCCTGGGGACTAACCCTGTATATCATTCAAACCATCTTAGCATGACAAACCAAAATATATATGGTTTAGGGGTGGGGATCTTGACCACTTACAAGGTATTAGAACTTTCTTAAATGGCAGGGGGTGGGGGTGACTCCTGGGGACTAACCCTGTATTTCATTTAATGGGCTTTATCCTTTAGAACATTTTCAATTAAAAAGATTGTGTCTATCACAAACGGTTTTCAATTTATAATCATTTGAAAATTTAAAAAAATAAAATCCCATAGGGTTCTATAGTAAAACCCTCTTTTCTTTTTGCCCCTCAAAGTACCCCTTTATAAACCCCATTGCACAAACAAAACCCTGATTGCACCACTAGACATGTTAGTCTAACATATTGTGAAACCCTAAGTTAATCTGACAAGCGGTTTTGGAGAACGGGTGCGGACAAGTTCAAATTTAAAAGCGGCGGAAGAAGAAGAAGAATAATAATAATAATAAGAACTGAGCAAAAACAATAAGTCTTCCCAAACTTCGTTTGGGAGACTTAATTACTGTGTATATATACCTTATAACTGCTACATAGATATTTTGACTATTGATTGTATTGACAAGATTTTCTATTCATGAATTAATGATATATTCAAAAAATTGTCTCTTAAATTTGCATTCTTATGGGTTTTTCTTTTGGGTCAAAAGTTGAGAGCCAATAAATTATAAATCAATTGATTGTGGAAAGATATCTTTCATACTAGAATGATTTATAATACAAAATAAAGCACAAAATCTGACCACCTAAAGATTGAGATTTCCAGGACAAAAGAATCTAATCCTCCTCAATTTAACATTTCAATTTTAGTTTGAGGAAATCTGCATGTTCATAAGACTTAACTTTTTCTTAAATGAGGGGACCATTGTGATCAAAGTAGCTGGAGAGATTCATAGGTCACAAGTGTATACTAAGATTAAATCAAATCAAACAGCATTTGATGTAAAGTCCAATATTAATGTAGCTGTAATCAAACTGTCAAACAAAATATTAACAAGCTCAAAGTTTGACAATGCAAACAGTATAGGATGCACTAACCAGAATGTACATTTGTACATGTGTCTGAGGAGATGAATCTTATCTGGGTTTACCAAGATTTCAATTTATTTTAAAAAATATTGAGAACTAGAGGCTCTAAAGAGCCTGTGTCGCTCACCTTGGTCTATGTGGATATCAAACAAAGGACACTCTCCAACATTGTAGACGAGAAAAGACTTCATGACAAAAATCTCTATTTTGTTGATCTTCTAAGACTGATCTTTAAGTCTGTTTAGTTTCTCTCTATCTTCTTTAGTTTTTGCTCAAAACAAAAAATAGGGTAAAAAAAATCCTCTTTTAAGGGCAATCACTCCTATGAAGAGAGACAGTCTACTAACTATATCGGCAAAATTTGACTTTTTAATAGATCTTGCCTTGCTGATCATTTTTGTGATTTAAAGTGTTTATTTATCTATTATAATTTAAATCATATAAGGCATAACGGAAAAAAATGTTTCTCTCTAAGTATCATAGTTTTCATGAAAATGGGCAAAAATGAAAATAAATTGCTTCGCTGAGCGCAGCTGGATACGACCGCAGAGGTCCAACCCTGAACAGTTGGGGCAAAAATGGACACAATATTCGTGCTTGATACAGGTCTGAACTTGGATTGTAATTAAATATTTGACACATAATAGGTTTCTGACACAGAATAACTGTAGTCAAAGAACTCAGAATTGGGTATATGATTTGAATTTATATTCAATTTTTTGCTTTTGTGCAATACACTTTGCTGTTGCGAATTGACCCCCCCTCCCCCACAAAAAAAAAAAAAAAATTTACCCCCCCTTTTTTTTGCTTTTGTGCAATACACTATGCTGTTGCGTATTGAACCCCCCCCCCCCCCCTATTTTTTTTCACCTCCCCCCCTTTTTCCCCCCAAAAAAATTCTTTCCCTCCAGATATGGTCATAATCTCAATTAAAATTTGGAATGGAGTTTGCAACCATAATT